TGCATCCGAAGAAGTGGGTTGTAGCCCACGAAAGCTTATGCTCTAATAAATTTGTTAGTCTCTAAGGTGCCACAAGTACTCCTGTTTTTTTTTAAACAAATTAAACAATCCTTGTTTGCTTTTTACTTAAAAATAAATCTTTATAAAGACCAGTGAGAATATTTATTAATATTGGGCCAGTCTTAGGATTTTGGGCAGTTGTGCCTTCAAGATCTGACCTTATAGTTTCTTTTACTTATAGGTGTCCCCTGCATGTAAAATATAGTGTTTACAAATTAAGGGCCAGATCTTCAGCTGCTATAAATCAACGTATCTCCACTAAACAGCTGAGGATCTGGCCTGAAATATTTAGGGTTCTGTCATCAAGTCTAGAGTAAATGGACAAAGGAAAGTTTTTATTTCCTTCAATATTTCTTTCTATAAAGTCACTTCTCCTGTTAGCTGGAGACCTGCACAGCTACATGTTGCTCTGCCACATGCAATGGCTCTGGTCCAGGAAACTATACCAGCTAACTTCTTTCAACCACACAGAAGATCAGAATCTGATCATCTTATCTCACCCATTTAAAACCAGCGTGAGCAGCGAATAGGTAGCAAGTAGATTGATGTATTGTAGGGCTATTGTACTAGACCTGTCATACAGTACAAAAGTGAATTTCAGACTGTCCTCAGAGCTTTTAAACCATGGGACCATCACTGAATAAGAGATACAATAGCTGGATGGTTAAGTGTTCCTCCTCTACTTTTACAGGGACCCATTCAACATAGTATTCAAGCACCAATTCAGAAAGCAGGGAATAAGTAGTAACTAAAAACCTGTGAGGAATGCAGATATCTTTCAGTGTGTGATCATTGATAATGGGTCATTCTATGTATTACAGTAGTGCCAAGAGACCCCAAGTGAGACCAAAACTCCATACTGTAGGTACTGTACATATTGGCTATGTGTGGAAGCAGTCCCTGCCCCAAGTAGCTTGCAATCTAAATAGACAAGAAAGACAAAATGTGAAAGAGGAAACAAAGGGAGAGAGGTTAAGTGATTTGCCTAACAGATCAGTGGCTGATTCAGGAACAGAACCCAGGTATCCTAATACCCAGTCCAGCACCCTATCCATTAGACAACACTGCTTCTTTAATGCCATTAAAGATCAATTTAGTTTAGACTGAGTACCTCCACTGATGGCGAGTGATCAGGGTCCTGACCAGAAGATGGTCATGACTTTTACTTAAATAATCTAAATGGCAATCAGTGGGTAGAGATATCTTATGTGACTTTGCAGAAATCTCACCACTAAGCACAGTCCTTTCAGGAAGGTTACAGACTTCACTGACTCTTCTGTGACCTAGAGATGCTATCTTCTGCAAACAGTACTAGGGGTGACGTGAAACCTTGATGGTGTCTACTGATTTGGAGAGCCCATGGTGATGGAGTATTTGAGGAATACAATATCTGTATATCGATAGCAAGGATCAGAATTATTAAGCAAGAGTCAGTAATGGAGTTAAAAAGCAAAGCTTAGACCTCGATTGGCCTGGCCATAAACATAGAAAAGAAACAAGTGCAATGGCTCTTCCCAAAAGAAATAATAGTGAGGGTGCTGAAGAAAGGAGGAGCCAAAGGAGTTGGAAGGAAGGGGGTTGCAAAGTTACATGTATATGGTAACAGTAGCTACTGGAGACAGTAGATTTTGACCCTGGCCATGTGACAGGAATTAACCTTTTTTAACACTGATTTATGGCAGATGACCGGGGCTAGGAAATAATAGTCGCTTATAATCACTCACGTGGGGTGGGGATAGAGAGAATAGAAATGTGAGCTGTACTTCTGAATGAAATTTGGAGGAAGGAGCACAGGTTTCAGCAGGGAAGGGTTTGGAAAAGGCACCAGGAAACCAGTCTGTGTACATATGATTAGAATGCTATCTGCAGTTGCAGCATCTCTACAAACAGTTCTCTTAAAAAAGAGCCAGTTTTGTTTTAGAAACATGGAGACCTCTCATGTTATTATCCAGCACACTGCACATGAAACATCTGGGGAAGGACGCTACACTGTTTTCATTGATGTACAAAATGCATATTTATAGTTTGTTTAGGTTATTCAGTTGCTGGCTGGCTCCAATGTTGCAACACTTTACAGTTTTCCCTTTCACCCATTAAGCGCTTTACCCATCTTCAATCATGGCCTGTCTCTATGGAGTCTTATATCAACTGATTTTTTTTTTTAAGATTAGTGAGTTTGTATGGAAAGTGAGAAACTAGGGGAAATAGTAACTTTGCTGTGAATAGTTTTAACCTAGGAAAATGAAAGGGTTTGTCTATTCACTCACTCTGAAACTAAGGATTTTGCTCTGTGTTGAGAAATACTATAAAGACACAACACTTTTTTACTTGTCCAGACATGGGAAACCCCAGAGTGAGGTACCTTTATTAACCGAGGGATTTTCTGGGTTTGGCCATGCACTGCAGGTGTAATGCAGCATGGCACTGTGAACAAACAAACAAACAAAAAGAGGCTAGAACAGATTCAATGCCTGGTTCATTTCCTGTTCTGCTGTGGTTTACAAGCATTCAGAACCTGCACCACACCACAGAATTGCATTGTGGAAGGCAGGGACAAAAAAGGGGACTTTGCTGAGTGCAGTGATTATTTTTGAGCAAAACAAAAAATACCACAGAATTTAATGCAGAAATCTATTTTAATGGAACATTAACATCCCGACAACCTATAAAATTAGAATGACAGATGCCTTGTTTTCTGTTCATCTCTCTTCTCCCAACACATTTGGGCTGCCCCTGGTTCCTACAACTCTCTGCTCCAGCAGTATTTTGGGACATGAGCTCTGTCTCCCTTACACTTGCTGTTTAGAGGGACTTAGTTGAAAATTGGTGAGTTTTTCTTGCTGTTGAGAAGTTCACATGTGGAACTGTGCGAATCTTGGCAGCTACGGGATCATGTGAGATCAGCCCCCATTGGGACAAATTCTGAAACCTTCACTCAATTTTGAGCTGAGCACCAAGGAAAGGACTTGACCCCCACCCCACCATCAAAATGCAATACAATTATTTCTTGGCTGAAATGTGACAAGACAGGAATTTTTTCACACTTAACAAATCATGGCTCATAGTTTTTAGCTAAAAGTAAAAACAAAAATATGGATGTCCATCATGAGAGTCTAAAATATTTAGATAATCAACCATAGGCCTGATCTTGCAAACTTGAAGTCAATGCCATTCACTTCTATAGGAACAGGATTCAGACCCGACACACACACTCGCCCATCCATATACATGTAAGAATGATTCACCCGTTAGTATGTCACCTTGCCCAAAAGCAGTGAATTATGTAGTGAAAGAACTATATATTGGCACGTCCTATATTGGGACCAAATAATATAGGCTTTACTCAGCCCCTACTCTGTCTGTTGAAGTCAATGGTCTAAATCCTGAATCATTCATTTTTGCAACACTGTCCTGTGAGATTTAAGAACTGCCAAAAACAAGAGAGGTATCAGAAATACACATTAACATACTGTACATGCAGCATTTACCTGTAACTGGGATCTATATTGTAAGTAGCCTCTGTCAGTTCTGTCAGTGCCATAAAGGAGGGAATTATTTTGTTGGCCTCCCATTTGGTCCATTCAAAGAGTCCAGGTTCTACCCTGATTTTAATTTTTTGTTCTAATTTAAGCCCTGCAATAAAGAAGAGATTTTAAAAAAGGAAAGGTGCATTCAGAGCTTTAAGCTTTGCCTGCACATGGCACCTTATTCCTGGTAATAATTTTATTAACAAAGTAAAAATACAATGTAAAACAAAGACTATTAAGTACACATAATGTTGACTACATGGAGTCTCAGTCCTTCTAGATACCCTACGCCACATGCTTAAACAATACTGGCAACCCAGGGGGAGGAGAAGAAACTATACTATATTCTTGCCAGAGTCACTGTAAGCGTAAATTCTCAAACCACGATTATTTGTGGAGTGATGCCACTGGGTGCTGCGGGGTAGAGAACAAAATGGAGACAACGACTCACTCCGCACAGGTGTTAGAGGGTAAGTAAATATCAAGAAGAAAATTGTTGTATGCTGTTTCTATATACCGTGTAGCTCACTGGGCCTATGTGGAGCAGTAAATCCAAACCTATAAAAACGGTGTTAAAGAAAAATCTCCCTGTTAAAGAGAGGTAACCTGAGTTTTACTCTGTATTCTCAGAAGGCCATACTGATGTGAATTTCCAGCAGAAACGCAGTGTTCCTTCTCAGTTTTGGAATCACAGAGTCCTATCATCCATGGCTTTGTGATTTTAAAAGAAATTTTTGAGTGACCTATCACGTGGGAGTCTTCATTTAAAAAGACTAGTTTTTAATGATGTGGCGGTCTCAAACCTCTTGTTAGCAAAGGCAAACTTCCAGGAGAAACTCTCAGGTTTCTTTCCCCGGGTACCTGTCCCTGAGCGTAATGGAAACACTTGATTTTATGACCAAAATCATTCATGGAAGAGTTAAATATAACAATTTGACAATAAGTTAAATTCTACTTAATCTGAAATGTCTTTGTCTTATACAACGTTAGATTCCGTTTTAACTTTATTGGACATGATTCAATTGAATACGATTTTACTATTATAGCGGGAAAACTTTATTACTTCCTCACAGTATCACCTAGCCCTTGCTCTAGACAGAAGTATCTGTCAGCACTGATTAAAGGCAAAAGTAAATTTTCAAAAAGCCATGCAGCATTTTAGGTGCTCCACTCTCATTGGCTTAGAGGAAGATTGACTCAGAAATGGCCAGTGTGGTATAAGAACATAACCATTTTGCTAACCTACCTTCTAGCACGTGTTGAGCTGTCTGTATGCAGCGGAGTGCAGGGGAACAGTATACACGGCTAACTGCCTCTTGTTTCTCCAGCAGAGCTTCTCCTGCAATACACACGAGAGTTGCTCTTTACAATCATTAGTACTACTGCAAAATATTTCCCACAGATATTAGTTTGAACTTTACAATAAACTGACTTTGAATGCACTCATGCCTCTTTTTAATTCACTTTCCACAAATATTCTGGTGGACAAGCTTACCAGCAGGAATATTTGTGGGAAGAGGAAATGTTAAGTGAATACTAGAAAAACAGTAATAGAAATATTTGAATTTGTAAAGGCACTTAGATACACCTATGGTAGATAGAGAAAGACAGATATTTGCACCACAACCCTATTTCTGAGATTTATACTCATCAAAGCAGGGAACAGAAACACATCATGGATAGATGTATTCAATCTGACTACCCAATACAGTTCAAATATCAATATAGTGAGTATGAACTGCTCACACACAATCTAGAGACCAAGAAACTGCATGTCCTGCCCCACGCTAGCCAGCTAACAGAGAGGCTACAGTCAGGGCCGACCCTACCATTTTTGCCGCCCCAAGCAAAAAAAAAGAAAAAGAAAAAAAAGCCGCTCGGACTGCCGCCCGAACTGCCGAAGCAGCCAAAAAAAAAAAAAAAAGAAAAGAAAGAAAGAAAAGAAAAGGCGCCCCTTAGCATGTGCCGCCCCAGGCACGTGCTTCTTCTGCTGGTGCCTGGAGCCGGCCCTGGCTACAGTTCACTGCTCCGGTTCAGACTAGAAGCAGAATGTACAGTGTTGTGGCACATTGCTCTGACCCTTCCCTGCCATAAGGTGGCAGGCTGGCTCTTGCACTACATGAGAAATTGGCCCTGCTCCCCACCCTGCTGTACAGCTCCCACATGAAACAGCAAGGTCCCTTTCCTGCTGCCCATAAAGGAAATCTACCAGTTACGCTACCAAGAAGCATTCCTATGGTAAAGCCAGCATGCGCTTTCACAGATTACAGAAGTCTTTCTTCCACCCCTTTTCATTCCTATTAGAATAATATCTAACTTACCTACAAGTCTAGACTGGAAAACACCACAGCATGATAAAGGAGGATCATATTCAAAATGTTTGATGCCGTCTCTTCGTTTTGGCAGACTGGCAGGGAAATTCAGATCTGCTCTGTGGTATTTTCCTAAAACAAAACAGAACATTTCATCCCTATATATAAAGGCCATAGTAATACATACGTACATATTTCTGTTATGCATGCACAATAATTTTCTTCTGCATTTTAGGCAACCCATTTCTGAAAACCTGACCCTAATTGTCTCCCTGGTGAAAAAAGGGAGTGAGTGATTTCTTAATATTACCTCAGGGATACTGCATTTTACATTCACCAAAGCAAACCCGGGAAATTGTTGATTCACTATGGCCCAGTCTCATTGGGTTCTGGGAAAGACAGCAAGGAGGAGAACCGTCTGACAGAATGACACATCTCCTCTGAGTTCCAGAGTAGCGGAACACCAGAGAAAACAAATGCTCTGTAAAATTCACCAGAGACATATATTCACATCAGAGCAGTGGAAACTCTTTTTTACCATTGCCAAAGTTATAAAAAAACAATGTTCTCATAGCAAAAAAGAAAAGGAAATACTTCACAGATTTTAAGGCCAGAAGTGATCATTATGGTCATCTTGTCCAATTTCCAACATAACCCAAGAGACCATGAGCAAAACACAATTCCTCCCCCACTCTCACCCCCAAATATATATATATATATATATAAAACTTTGTTTCACCTCAGAATCATGCTTTGAAGGCGAAAAAACCCGTCAACCTTGACTTTTCACTTATGCCAGTGTTAACATTTTGTCATTTCTCCACAAAAATCTCATTGTTTGCTCCAGTTATTCTTGACTGGGTTTGACTAGCACAGCGTCATGATTTTGATCAACAATGTAATGTTGAAAAGCTATGTCTAGCCACACAAAATAGGGAAATTTGGGCATTGATCAATTTTTTAAATTTCTGAAAATGCTGGTGAAAAATTCATGTTTTGCACATCAACTCAAGACAAAAATGTAGTTTCACTGAGCTCTATTTGTACAGTATTACTTGGGTAGGATGACTACATGGGAAGTACTGTGACTATAGCAAATGCAGTAGATCCTCAGAGTTCTGAACACCTCAAGAATGAAGATTTTTTGTAACTCTGAAATGTCTGTAACTGAACAAAACATTACAGCTGTTCTTTCAAAAGTTTACAACTGAACATTGGCTTAATACAGCTTTGAAACTTTACTATGCAGAAGAAAAATGCTGCTTTTAACCATCTTAATTTAAATCAAACAAGCACTGAAACAGTTTCCGTACCTTGTCAAACCTTCTGTTTAAACTTTCCCTTTATTTTTTTAGTAATTTATGTTTAACAGTACTGTATTTGCCTTTTCTTTTTGTCTCTGCTGCTGCCTGATTGTGTACTTCCAGTTCCAAATGAGGTGTGTGGTTGACCGGTCAGTTTGTAACTCTGGTGTTCGTAACTCTAAGGTTCTACCGTATTGCTTTGACTATATGATACTACTAGGCTTTTTGTGTATGAAGGGTATTTCTGAATAGCTGCTTTCTTCAGCACTAAAGTTCAGTCTGGTTTGCAGACATTTACAAGTAGTAATTTAGACTTCATGCATCACGGCCATCATGGTACAATATTTTCTTTTCAGTCTGGTTTGCCAAGGGCCAGTCCTCCCGTTCTTTTACTTACCATCTGCAGTTAAGCATTGCTGAATCCAGGACTTCCCAAAAACATGATCCACTCTCTCCCCATGGCGCATCACCAACAGGCCTCTTCTGAGAGCAATAGCCTGAGAAAGCTGGATGCAGTGACCCATTTATATTTTAGTGTTATTAGTTAATTTTATTGCAGTGGCACCTAGAACCTGCAACTGAGATCAGGCCTGCAATGTGCTGTACACACATACTAAAGGACAGTCCCTTTCCTGAAAGGCTTACAATCATTTGAATAAACTAGACCAGGGGTTGGCAACGTTTGGCACGTGGCTCGCCAGGATAAGCACCCTGGCAGGCCGGGCCAGTTTATTAACCTGCTGACGCGGCAGGTTCGGCCGATCGCGGCCCCCACTGGCCGCGGTTTGCTGTCCCGGGCCAATGGGGGCGGCGAGAAGCCGCGGCCAGCACATCTGTGATTTCAGTGGCTATAGATTAGGTTATAAGACCATGTTTACATTAGGAAAAAGGTGTTTTAACTAACATGTTAAAATCCTAGCATAGGCACAGCAAACTGGATGAGGAGAATTGGAATCCTTACAATACAGACAGATCTGCATTCAAATTTTCCACTGTACACTGCATCTTATTTTATCTCTGCAGCAACAGATTTTGTTTTGCGTCTGAGGGTGTATCTATGACACAAATGGAGGAGTGGTTGTAACACAGAGTTAGCTTTACCCATGTTAGCTTTAATCTAGCTAGCACAAGGTAACAATAGCAGTGAAGATGTGGCCGTAGGGTCCCCAGGGTGGTCTAACAACCCTAGTATGTACTCAGGGTCCCTGGCTTGTACTGAGGCAGCTAGTCTGAGCTGAAATCCGTGCCACTATGTCTATATTATGATTGTTACCCGCGCTAGCTAGATTAAAACTAGCATGGGTGTGTCTACCCGTGCTACAGTCACATCTCCATTTGCTTTGTACACATACAGTACCCTTAGGAAGAGATATTAATAAACTGCAGTGGGAAGATTATGATTCAGGGTTTTGCAATCTTGCTTTTCTGTTTTGAGGGAACTTGAGTGCAGGAGCAACTTCCATCATAGGGCCTCTCAAAATGAACACGTGAACTACTGCAAGAAACATACTGTGGATCAAATCAGGACTCCAACCCAGAGCTGGGCTCTGTGAGAGAAGGGAGGAGGAGCACACAAGCTGTGGTGTCAAGGAGGCATTATATTATGCCCATGGAAGTCATCATATTTTCAGGGTGCTGAAGGGAACACGATGAGGTCTGGTTTTGGGAGGACATCCTCTACATTCTGGCTGCTAGCTACATTCTTCTGGGGATTAGTATTTCTAAGAACCTTTGTTTCTAATGTGCAGGGTTCTTGCAAATTTCAGGCCCCTACCAGGTCACAAGAAAGGAGCTGCAGACAGAATGCACACAAATGCACCCAGGTCACATGAACATCAGAGCCCATGCACCCAAGTGGGTAGCCCATCTGAGAAGCTGAGATTTAGTCAAATTCTTGCCCTGCTGGGCGACCTGTTAATAAATACTGGGGATACATTGTAAAAAAACAAAAACAAAACACCTCCTCCTCCCCCCCAAAAAATCCCATCAATATTGAGGGCAGGGGGTTAAAAATGTAAATCTGTCAGTGTTGATGGTGACCCTTTCAACTAATTTACTCTACTATTGTCTTACACACTTATTTATTGTAGATATATATAAAAACACAAAGAAATTACAGACTAGGATCTAAGATCCTACAGTAAGGCATATAAATATCTAAGATAAGGTAAAATAAAATCAGTTTGGCCAAGAAAGTACAAACATAGGGCCTAATTCTGCTCTCAGTTACACTGGTGTAAATCCATTGAAATCAGTGGTGTTATGCAGGCCTCAGACTGGTATGAGAGAAGAATTAGGCCCAACGCCTACTGCTAGCAATATCTGCACATTGCTCCGCAAGCCGTATCTCCAGAGTTTGACACAAGCCTTGCTTATACTTAGAGGATCTGTTTACTCCTTGCACATAAAGAAAGCTGACATTTGAAAACTATAGTTTTTTTCATTTGCTTTGTTATTTTTTACTGGCTGAAGCAAAGAGACATTAAGAAATGTAAAAGCCATTTCTCTATAGATAATATTGAGATGAAACTAGAGGGTGGTATTAAATGTTCATTTAAAAACATGTATTTGTATAAGCATGTTACCTGCACTGATATTTATGCACCTGTCAAAGAGTAAGAAATGAAGACTTATTACCTGGAAAGCAAGTGTTTGGGTTACACTCTTTGTCATTACTGGGATATGGACTTCACCATTCAGTTTACGTCTAGGTTCATTTTCATTCTTGGGGAGCAGTCCTGAAGCTGGAGTGAAAGTGTATTCTCTGTGGGAAAAGTAGAAACAACAGATAGACGCACATAGAGAGATGGGATTTTTAAGGCCTGATCTTGTATCCAGGGAAGTAAAAGGCAAGATTCCCATTCACTTCAGTGGGAGCAGAACCATAAAGAGTTTTGACATGCTTCGGAAAATTGTATATGAGAAAGTCTGATCCCACAGTACTAATACAAGTGACAGGCTATTGCCAGATTGTGGTTAATAAATAACATTGCCCCTTTTGATCTGAGTGGTTAGTCAAAGTTCGGGGTCCTGGAGATGTTCCAGTTGGAAGCAGAAATTGAGGGACTTGCAGTTTTATTTATGTACAAGGACTGTACAAAGTCCTGCTTCTCTGAATGCAGGAGAAACCAACAATAAAGGAGCAGTTTCCTATTTTATAGCACCAAGCCTCTTTAGCCAACAGACCCACAAGATCACTCTCTGGCTTTTTCCAGAATCACACTACGTTTACTGGCTATTGCTTGGCTTTCACATACACATACACACACACACACACACACACACGCACACACACACACACCCTCTGCCCACTCAGTCCAAACTCCTGGGCAGGTTCACAGTCCCTGTTTGTCTTAGGTGCGGGGCTTCTGACTCACTCATCCAGACAGTTATGTTAATTGAAGGGGGCGTTCATGCCCAATCTCAGAGGTTTGTGATTGATGCAATCACCAGTACCTCTCAGCATAACTCTCCTGTTTTAGCTCTGCCCATAATTCTGATGGTACTCAAAATAACGACACCCTGTATGACCTATGCCAAAGAGAGAGCAAATAAATAATTTAGCAAACTAACAATGATACAAGGTTAACTATCTACATATGATCGCTGTTTTCACATCATCAACCCTAATTGATTTAATTTCCACCCAACCTCCTTCGGGATTTTTTTACTCCCTGACTGACTTTCCTTCAATCACCTGGGAAATCCCTATTGTTTCTGTGAAATTTGTTGGCTGAAGCAGACCCTGCCCATTCTGTTTGAATGGTGGTTGTGGGATTGATCTCTACAACAACTTTTCCAGGCCATATCTACACAATGACACTACACCAGCACAGCCAGGGCTGGATGTAGGGGCAGGTAACCCAGACGACTGCCTGGGGTGCCAGGATTGGGTGGTGCAGGACTTGGGGTGCAGTTTTAGTTGTTAACGACAAAAGGGAAAATAGAATGTATGAAGTAAAATGTTTCAGGTATTCCATATGTGGATTCATTTTTCACCAACCTTTTAAAATGTTCTGGACCTTGTAGAATCTTGTGGAACCTTCCAGACTTTGAGAACTACATTTTCCTCGAACCTCCTAGAATGCTGTCAGCCATGCCCTCACGAGTATATCAGGGGCATGGCGTTGCCAGTCAGTGAGTGAGTGAGATATAAGAACAAACTGAACTGAAGTGAGAGCCCCGCTGCAATATTGTGAATCTTGTTTTATTGTGTAATTATGAACGTGTACTGTGTTTTAAGACTTAAGAGTGTAAGTACCGATTAATAAAGGACATATTTAATGAGATGCCCGAGATATCTAGTGAGCCTATATCTACACAACAATATAAAAGAAATACTGTTTCTTCTTTTGCCATGCTTTACATGTAATGTTTGATGATTTTCTAAGACTGCAGAACAAAGACTTTTGTTCTCCCTAATACTGTCTATTTTCCTCTGTACAAAAAAGATGCCCATAAAGAAGTCTTCAGGAGCTCAGTATAGGAAGAAAAAATCTCAGTTGCAATCTAGTTTGCAGTAAGGGGAAAATTTGATGGGAAAATATCTGAAACAGAACAACATAGACCAGACTTTAGGCAGTTGCTATCGTCCCAGTGAAGAAGAAATTGAGGAGTGAAGCATAAATGATGGATTACTAAGGAATTAGCAGATTTACCTGAAGATAAGGAATGGAAATGTGAGGAAAGTGATGGAGAATCATCCAGTGGCATAAAGGAGAGTGATGATAAAGAAGAATGTGGCTCACATGAAAAGGAGAATAATGACAAAGAAAAATCTGGTTTACATGAAAAGGAGAGAAATGATAAAGAAGATTCAGCCTCGCATGATGACAGAAACAGCAGTGAGAAAAATTGCACATCACAAATTGATACATCAGATCCTGCTTTATGGCCAGTGATCCTAAACGTTGCCAATATTGATTGTACAATTTTGAACGGGTCAGACAAAATCAAGGATATGACATTTCCATTAAATGAGCAGAAGTGACACTTCTCAAAGTTGCACTGCAAAAGAGTGCTCAAGTATGGTTAGAAGCTGAATCAGCATTGGCTAGTTTACTCAAAATTAACTGACAAAGTGTTCTGTTTTTGTTGCAAAATATTTGACAAGAATGCCAAATCATTGCTTGTGCTTTCTGGGTACAATTACTGGCATAATTTAGCTGATGCTGTGAAGCTACATGAAAAATCACCAGGCCATATTACAGCCTATTCTAAATGGATGGAGGTCAAATCCAGGCTCAAGCTGAATAAATGCATAGATGCAGAAAACCAGCGCATTATTAATGTAGAAACCCAGCACTGGAGGAACATGCTTGAGTGTCTGATCTGAATTACCCTCTTCCTCGCAAAGAATAATTTGCCTTTCTGGGGCTTGTCAGACAAGTTGTTCACTGAACATAACTGTAATTTCCTCCGTTTGGTAGAGCTCCTTGGGAAATACGATGATGTCATGGGTGAACACCAACATCTAGTAGTTCATAGAAAAGCAATGGACCATTACTGCAACAAAACAATTCTAAACAAATTGAGTGACCTTATGGCAAGGAAGGTGCTTGATAACATATTGATGCAGATACTTGGCAAAGCAAAGTACCACCCTGTAATAATGAACTGCACTCCTAACATTAGCCACAGAGAAAAGATGTCATTTACAGTAAGATTTGTTGATGACGAGGATGGCTGTATCCAAATAAAGGAACATGTCATCTGTTTCCGGTCTGTGGATGACTCTACTGGAAAAGGCCTAGCAGAACTGTTTATGAACGTTTTGAATGAGAATAAAATAAAGCTTCAGGACTGCCGCAGCCAAAGCTATGATAATGGTGTGAACATGAAGGGAAGAAACAGTAGCATCTAGACAAGGATCCTTGTGCTGAATACAAGAGCTTTCTTCATGCCTTGTGGCCACCATTCCCTCAACTTGGTTGTTTCAGATGCAGCATCTTCTTTAGATTCAGTATCTCTCTTCGGAGTACTGGATATACATATTGGTTTCAGCATCGGGTATCAGGTGGAAGATCCTCATGGGCAATGTTACAAATCTGACCATGAAGCCAGTAAGTGACACTAGCTGGGAGAGGCACATTGACAGCATAAGGTCACTGAGGTACCAAGTAACTGAGGTTTACGATGCCCTGATGGAACCAGCGCAGTCGAGTAAAGCCGAGGCCTGAATCCGACATGAGGCGCAAAGCCTGGCAAACCAGATCACTGACTTCCAATTTCTGGTCTCAACTGTGATTTGGCACGATACCCTGTTCCAAGTAAACATTGTAAACGGATTTGAAGATGCCATCACTGCTGCCAAAGAATTAGCAGAAAACGTAGGAGTTGAGCCTGTCTTCAAGGAAACTTGCATTCATCAGAAGAAGAGACAGTTTCAATACAAGGGCAGAGATGAAGTGAAGGGAAGCTTGGAAGAAAAATTCAATAGGGAGTTTTTTTTGCTCACTAGTTGACACTGCTCAAGTGTCCCTTGAAGAAAGTGTTCCATTCTATATGCATCCAAAGAAGTGGGCTGTAGTCCACGAAAGCTTATGCTCTAATAAATTTGTTAGTCTCTAAGGTGCCACAAGTACTCCTGTTCTTCTTTTTCCTTGAAGAAAGGTTCAGAGAAATGAAGCACCACGAATAGAGGTGTGAGTTTTTGTAGCTGCCAGCAGACAGGAAAACACTCTTGAACAATTGTACAGACCTTCACTGGATGCTGAAACATGGAGAATGTTCGTACATCAATGATTAAAGACTTGTATGTCAAATTAGACAACATTCATTACATTTTGCCACCCAGGAAACACTCTCCATTCAAAGTTCTCCAATTCATTCATAATGCAAAGCTGAAGGACACTTTTCCTAATGTGTGGATGGCTTTGAGGATTCTGCTTGTGCTGCCGTTCACAGTCGTGAGTGGTGAGCGCTACTTTTCAAAGCTCAGGTTCATTAAAACATGTCTTCATGCGACGATGGCCGATGAGAGACTGACATCGCTTGCTATTTTATTGCTTGAAAATGCCATTGGACAATCTTTGGATCTCTCTGAAGCTGTGCTTCAGTTCACAGGGGCAAAGGTGAGAAAAGCGACCTTTTAAACTAAAGGGCTAGGGTTAAATTCTAAGAATGTCACCTACTGTAACACGATTTAATAGTGGTTCACCCAGTGTTGATGCACAGTTCAATTTCTTGATGTTATTACATTTCAGTTATTCTTAGAATTAAAACGTTTCTATAAATATAGAGGAAATGATTTTTTATTTGGTTATATATGGCATGAATAAATACAGATTTACAGATTCTACCATGCACATTTATCATCTTATATGACAAGGATAAAGCATGCAGGCAAATCGTGCATCCAAGTTGTGAAATGGGCTACAAATACAATAAAAAATAAGCTATTCAAAAGTTTAACAAATGGAGGGGGCGGGGAAGCACCAAAGACGCTCCTTCCCTTGGGCACCATTTGGTCTAGGGCCAGTCCTGAGCAAGGCTATGCCGCTGTAGTGCCAAAGTGCAGATGCTTCCTACAGTGAGAGACAAGGTTTTTCCATTGCCATAGAAACTCCACCTCCCTGAACAATGGTAGCTAGGCCAATGGATGCATTCTTCTGTTGACCTACTTTGCATCTATACCAGGGGTTAGATTGTCATAGCTATGGTGCTCAGGGGTGTCAATTTTTCACACCCCTGAGCACCACAGCTATGTCGACCTAACTATTAAATGTAGACCAGGCTCCAGCCTCAACTTCCACAGCTACATTC